CCCATCTTTCTTGTGGCTTTCTGGAAGTTTCATCACGCAGAGTGGCCTTCAGTTCAGCCCCAGGAACTCCCAGGGTTTTGTTATGGAGAAATTGCTTGTCTTGCACTGTCCAGGGAAGCTCTCTTTTCCCACCAAAAGTTGACTCTTTTGCTAACGGTTTGGGTTGTGTTTGGTGCATGGATCATGAGCTGTTATCAGTAGCCTACCCCATCCAGGGACCTCGGCTAGTGTTAAGGAGCCTGTCTTAGTCTGTGCAGGCGGCAAGAACAAAATACCGCAGACCAGATAACTTATAGACAATAGAAATGTATTTATCACAGTTCAGGAGGATGGGAAGTCCAGGATGAAGGTGCTGGCAGATTGGGTGTCTGGTGTGGGCCTGCTTTCTGGTTCTTAGAGGGCAGCTGCATTGTCACATGGTGGAAAGGGCAAAGAAGCTCCCCTGGGTTGCTCTTTTAATGGCACTAATCCCATGTTAGTGGAGGCTATGTGACTTAAATACCTCCTAAAAGCCCTGCCTCTTCCTACTGTCACATTGTCACATAGGGGATTAGGTTTCAACACATGAATTTTGAGGGGACACAACCATTCAGACCATGGCAGGGACCTCTTATACAATAAGTAATGATATTTCAAAAGATATAGCATGACATTTTTTGTTCCACTTATAATTAAAATGTCAGCTGGATGTGGTGGCTCTCACCTGGAATCCAGCACTTTGAGGGGCCAAAGTGGGCAGATCACTTGAGCCCAGGAGCTTGAGACCAGCCTGGGGAGCATGGCAAAACCCCATCTCTATAAAAGTACAAAAATTAGCTGGGTGTGGTGGCACACACCTGTAGTCCCAGCTGCTTGGGAGGCTCAGGTGGAAGGATCCCTTGAGCCCAGGAGGCAGAGGTTGCAAAGAACTGAAATTGTGCCATTGCTCTCCAGCCTGGGTGACAGAGAAAGACCCTGTCTCAAATAAATAAATAAATAAATAAATAAATAAATAAATAAATAATATAATTGGAAGGCTAGGCATGCATGCTTCCTCACTTAACGTGAACATAGTCACAGGTATTTGGGCCCTCTTTTTGGAGAGAGGCTGACCTTTTAGATGTTGTTTAAGATACATTTTACCATTTGGACATTAGGGGTATTTGAAGCCAGTATTGATGGCCAAGATTAGTTTAGTTTAATGTATTAAGATTTTATTTCTTATTTGTTAATCTTTGTATACTCTAAATCCAGCAGTTTTATCTATATCATTCATTTTTTAAACAAAGAGTACCATTTGAGATGGTATCTCCACCCATTCTCTGCACCTCCCCTGCCATTCTAAAGCAGAGCCTGATGCAGGGATTGAGTGTTAACACCTTATTTAGGAGGTCTCAGTACAGAGTGGTGAGGGTAGGTATGCAAGGGAAGGAAGGCCGAAGAAGATGCCAAGTGATGCTGGCTGGTGTTTGACAATGAAATGCAGAGTCCCAGCAGGTCTCATAGTGGATATGTTCACTTCCAAAAGGGCTGCAAAGAGGAATCACAGTTGAGGAGGATGGGAAGTCCAGGATCAAGGTGCTGGCAGATTTGGAGTAGTCTGTAGGAAGCAGAGATGTTTTCTCTGCTCCCTTCCCTCTTGTCTCCTAGTTCACACAGGCCAAGCCTCTCCCCTTGCACAGCTATTTCCCTACGCATTTGGGTTGTACCATCTGACTCCTACCAACCTCTCAGAAAGCCAGATTTCACCATCCAGAGTGATGCTTCATCCACGCCCAAGGCAGGGGTTGACAGAGCATGAGTGAGTTTCCAACCAAAATAGAAGGTGGCTGTTGATGGAACTATGAATAATCCAATGTCTGTGTCCCTGTGTAGAGACTCTCTTAGAACCGAGTGCTGTGGTGAACATCTGTCTCCACTGGCAGATCTTGGTAACTTAATCATTCATAAAAGTGGGTAACAGAGGCCAGTGATTTTACTTCATAGTCATCCTAAGAGGAAGCTTCTAAATCCCCTAAGGCAGGGGTTGGCAAAGTGTGGCCCATGGGCCAAATTCAACTCGGAGGTTTTTTAGTAAATGAAACGTTTTTTTTTTTTTTTTTTTTTAAGCTGGAATCTCGCTCTGTAGCCCAGGCTGGAGTGCAGTGGCTCGATCTCACCTCTGCCTCCTGGATCCCGGTTCAAATAATTCTCCTGCCTCAGCCTCCCAGGTAGCTGGGATTACAGGCACGAGCCACCATGCCCAGCTGAGTTTTGTATCTTTTAGTAGAGACGAGGTTTCACCATGTTGGCCAGTCTGGTCTTGAACTCCTGACCTTGTGATCCGCCCACCTCGGCCTCCCAAAGTGCTGGGATTATAGGCGTGAGCCACCGTGCCTGGACAATGAAGCTTTCTTTATTGGAACACAGCCTTGCCCTTTTGTTTACATATTGTCTATAGCTGGTTTTGCACTGAGATTGTAGAGTTGAATATAGACTGCCTCCAACTTTTTTTTTTTTTTTTTTTTGAGACGGAGTTTTGTTTTTGTTGCCCAGACTGGAGTGCAATGGCATGATCTCTGCTCACTGCAACCTCTGCCTCCTGGGTTCAAGCAATTCTTCTGCCTCAGCCTCCTGAGTAGCTGGGATTGTAGGCGTGTGCCACCACACCCAGCCAATTTTTTGTATTTTTAGTAGAAACTGAGTTGCCTCATGTTGGCCAGGCTGATCTTGAACTCCTGACCTCAGGTGGTCCACCTGCCTCGGCTTCCCAAAGTGCAGGGATTACAGGCATGAGCCACCGCACCCGGCCGACTATCTCCAACTTAAAATGGGTGGACTTAACAATTTTTTTAACTTGGCGCCAAAGTGATACTCATTCACTAGAAACTGTATTTCAGTTCAATATTCAGTAAATTATAAGAGATATTCAACACTTTGCTACAAAATAGGCTTTATGATAGATGATTCTGCCCAACTGTAGGCTAATGGAAGTGTACTGAGCATGTTTAAGGTAGGTGAGGCTAAGCTATGGTATTCAGTAGTTCAGGTGTAATATGTGCATTTTTGACATACACTATTTGCGAGTCACAATGGGTTTCTCAGTATATAACCCTGTCATAAATTGAGGACTATCCGTAATTGCAGCAGAGACCATGTGGCTCACAAAGTGAAAATATTTACTCTCTGACCCTTAACAGAAAAAGTTTGACAATACCTGATTTAAGAAATAGAACTGGCTGGGCGCAGTGGCTCACACCTGTAATCCCAACACTTTGGGAAGCTGAGGGGGGTGGATCATGAGGTCAGAAGATCGAGACCATCCTGGACAACATGTTTGAAACCCTGTCTCTACTAGGTGCTGCTCATGGTGGTGCATGCCTGTTGTCTCAACTACTCAGGAGGCTGAGGCGGGAGAATTGCTCGAACTGGGGAGGCAGAGGTTGCAGTGAGCCTAGATCGCGCCACTGCACTCTAGCCTGGCTGCAGAGCAAGACTCTGTTCTCTGAAATAAAAACAAAAACAAAAAATAGAACCTGTTTGTTTTACACATATGGAAATGAAGTCCCTACATGGTAAAGGGATTTGCTTCAAGTTATCTGGTCATTTATAAGCCCAGCTGTGACCAGACTGCCCTGTCTTCTAATCTTTTCTTTTTGCCTCAGTATTTGGAAGAGCAGACATGGGTGGCAGTGACTTAAGTTGGAATGAGAATAACTGAGTTTGTAGATTCATTGATAAAGGAAAATGATCTGAAATAACAATTTTTTAAAGGAAACCTATGCATCTTGTTAAAGCATGAACCCAAATCCAGGAGAGCCGAAAATTGTTTTTAAGTCTTTTTTGTTTTAGATAGGATCTCTCTCTCATCCAGGCTAGAATGCAGTGATACAATCAACCTCGCGCACGTTGTTTTTTTTTTTTTGGTCAAGGGGTTTTGCTACATTGCCCAGGCTAGTCTTGAAATCCCAGCTCAAGCAATCTTCCTGCCTTGGCTCCCCAAAATGTTGGAATTACAAGCATGTGCACCACACCCAGGCCTTTAAGTGCTTTTGATAAAGAATCTGTGTCTGTAAATGTTTTATTGTGTTTGTGACTGAAGCTTGGAGGACTAAACCAGGATTTGAGCTTTTGGATTCCTTTGCCAAATAGTAGTTTTCTTGATTTCTTGCTTTAATTTTTCTTTAAATGAGTGGATTCCCATTTAACTTTATTATGCCAGGAACTAATGTGAGTTTCTGTATAAATTTTCCAATAGAACACTTTTAACGTTTATTTGTTACAAATAATTGGATTCTTTTCTAACTCCCCAAATAAAATGAATGGCCCTGATTATTCCCTGTTAATAAAAGTTACTCTGAGAAGGTTCTATACCCAAAAAGTCCATCTATTTTCTTCTGTCCATCTGTGTTGAGCACATGTGATACTAAAAAGATATGCATATGGCACATTTGGTTGATTAAATTAGGATTGTGTGTGCACGTGTGTGTGTGTGTGAGAGAGAGAGAGAGAGAGAGCGCGTGAGAGAGCGCCAGCCTAATATATATAAAGCCTAATTTTGGCTTTATTATTTTTCTTTAATGGATTCTTAGTGGAAGGCTGTTAGAACTTAAAGCTTCCTATTAATCTGCTTCTGTGTGGGTTTTGTTTTCTCTTCCAGGATATCCGTTCTCATGTGTAATGTTTAGGTAATACTTACATGCATAACACACCCCTCGTTTTTCACCAGGGTTTAAAGCCAATAGTCTTTCATTTGTGGCAGTGTCAAGTGGCTTAGAGTCAGTCACACTGCCAGGATGAAGTTGAAGACTCGCACAAGTCAAAAGACAAAAGAGATTTTGTGGTTTGCCCAATTCTAGGAATTTGAGTTACTTTGCAAAAGACTGCTTATTGGTAAACAGTGTGAGTGCGTTCTTCATTGTCTGTTAGGTGGAGTCAGTGATGAGTAGCACGTGGTTCAGATATGGAAGTGGGACAAAAAGAAATGTGTAGAATAGGATCCATAAATCTTCTAGAATATTCAGTGACCCAGATTATTCCACTCCTAGCTGTATACCCAAGAAAATTGGAAACACATGTCCACCCAAAATCCCACGTGTGCATGTTCAGAGCATTGTTATTTATTATGCCCAGTAGAAACTCAAATGCCCATCAACTGATGAATGGATAAACAAAATGTGGTTTTATCCGTACAGTGGAATATTAGTCAGCCATAAAAAGGAATGAAGGTACTGGCTGATACATGCTTCAATGTGGATGAATCTTGAAAACATCACACTAAGCCAAGAAAGCTAGACACAAAAAGCTGTGTACCATATGATTCCGTTTATATGAAATGCCTAGAATAGAGAAATCCACAGAAAACCACCCGGGTGGTTGCTGGGGGCTGGAGTTAATGGAGAGTGACTGCTGATGGGTACAGAGTTTCTTTCTGAGACAGTAAAAATGTTCCAAAGTTAGGTAGTGGTGCAGGTTATACAACTCTGTGACTGTACCAAGAACCATTATATTATATGCTTTTAGAGGGCGAATTTAATGATAAGGAATTATATTGCAATAAAAGTGTCATTAAAAACAGGCATGTGTGGGCATGATGGGTGTGTATATGATTTTGTTGGCATCCTTTAGAAACCTTTTTTTTTTTTTTTTTTTTTTTGAGACAGAGTCTTACTCTGTCACCCAGGCTGGAGTGCAGTGTTGCAATCTCAGCTCACTGCAACCTCTGCCTCTCAGGTTCTAAGGGATTCTCCTGCCTCAGCCTATGGAGTAGCTGGGATTACAGATGCTTGCCACCATGCCCGGCTATTTTTTTTTTCCCCCGAGATGGAGTCTTACGCTGCCACCAGGCTGGAATGCAGTGGCACAATCTCGGCTCACTGCAACCTCCGCCTCCCAGGTTCAAGTGATTTTCCTGCCTCAGCCTCCCAAGTAGCTGGGATTACAGGCATGCACCACCACATCCAGCTAAGTTTTGTATTTTTACTAGAGACGGGGTTTCACCATGTTGCTCAGAATGGTCTCGAACTCCCAACCGCAGGTGATCTGCCCTCCTTGGTCTCCCAAAGTGCTGGGATTACAGGTGTAAGCCACCGTGCCCGGCCCCTAATTTTGTATTTTTGGTAGAGATGGGGTTTCACCCTGTTGGCCAGGCTGGTCTCAAACTCCTGACCTTAGGTAATCCACCATCCTCGGCCTCTCAAAGTGCTGGGATTACAGGTGTGAGCCACCGCACCCAGCCTAGAAACCGTTCTTTGGATGTCTTGGTTAGGGAGTCATTCTGCCTGGTTGCCAAATTGGTGAGTGTCAGAGGTAACTCGGAAATGGAGTTTGTTTAAAAAAAAAAAACAAAACAGTACACAGATTCTACCACCGACTTCCAGAATCAGAATCTATTTGGAAAGAGTAAAAATGTCCACTTTATGTTTTTCAAAGTTTTCTAATAGTCACCACCTGTTTTTTACTTGCAAGGACACTTTGTAATAAAATGATGGAGGCATAGTCAAATGTAATACAGCTGAGGAACAAATTTAAATCCAATTTCCTCTTATAGAAATTTAATGAGAAAACAGGACTTCCTTTAAACAGGTAATCATGCATCATAGTCCCAAGGTTAAAGGTTATATAACCATAAACAATTGTAGAATCTCATGGCGGAGCTATTGGAGACAAATAACTCAATTTTATGGTGACAAGACTTGGAATGAGTATAAAACTGCCAAGAAAGTCCCTTCACCTGGCTGGTGTTTATATTCTTAAGTGTCACCAGTGTAGCTGACTTGTGTATATTTCCCAGCCTTTATTCCTATCTGTATAAGAAGATGTAGTGACAGGTCTTGTAATTTCAAAGATTTAGGGTCAATAGCTCAAAAATTGTTTGGATCTCAGCATTTTTTGCTATTAAAAAAAAAAAAAAATTCCTGCACTCTGCTTTCGACTTTGTTTCTAGCTATGGCCAAGTCAAGGAAATTGGAGCGTGTACTGTTTTCATTTGTACATTCTGCTTAGCACCCTGGCATCCAGACAAAACGAACAGCATCCTTGCCTTCGAGGAACTTAGAGACTCATGTGGAGCAGTTCAGACCTTGGAGGTTTGGAGGAGTTATGAAGTGTCTTTCATTTTTCTCTTCTGCAGAGATCTTTCAACCGGAGCACCCTAATTTCCCTCTACTTTGGTTAGGGTGAGGGTGCCGGCCAGTAGTCACGTGTCTCTTCATCATTCATTACGTGGCAGAGCCCAGTGGCTTAGCGGAGTCCAGCCACTAATCCCATGGCAGGATTGCTACCAGTCGTTAGATTGACCCATACTCGTTAATTACAGGCCAAAGGAAGTACGAGTCACTGTGAATTGTGTACCTATAAGAAATGACATTTGCTTGATTTGAACTCTTTTTGAAAAGTGCTGGCCTGGAAAACTGGACTCTTAGGGAAATGGCATTATAATGTGTTGAGAGTGGTGGGGAGGTGGCAGGCAGGCAAGGTCAGGGCATCTGGAATCCAGGAGAGCTGGCCTGCAAAGATACAGGGAGAGTAGATGTTGCTTGCTGCATTGTCCTTAGGCTAGAGACTGTTGACAGAAGCTTCTATTCTCCGTACACAGTGCTTAAAAATGTTGTTAGTTTCCAACATTGAAAAATTGGGAGTTTTTTTCATAAACATCTGGATACCTATCTCCTTTCAGAAAATTGTGAAGTGTGGCCCCACCGGCCCCACCTTCCTGCCTGAACACAGCTGAGTGGGTCTGAGAAGGTGGCCATTACCTATGATTTGTTTAAAAAAAAAAAAAAATACTTAGTTGGGCTTCATGCATGTGTTTTCTGTATTTAGTTCTGTGGGTGTCTGAGTTTGGGCCTGATGAGAAGAGGACGCCTGGTGGTTTTGTATCAAATATTGAGGTGAGGGTGGCATCAGACACAAAATCAGGAAGATGTATATTTATTTTTGTATTTGAGATAGAGTCTCACTCTGTCGCCCAGGCTGGAGTGCAATGGCACGATCTCGGCTCACTGAAACCTCTGCATCCCAGGTTCAAGCGACTCTCCTGTCTCAGCCTCCTGAGTAGCTGGGACTAGAGGTACCCACCACCATGCCCAGCTAATTTTTGTATTTTTAGTAGAGACGGGGTTTCACCACATTGGCCAGTCTGGTCTCGAACTCCTAACCTCATGACCCGCCCACCTCAGCCTCCCAAAGTGCTAGGATTACAGACATGAACCACCATGCCTAGCCTGGGAAGACATTTCGTGAATGAATTTGGAAACAGATTATGAAAGTGGACCAAGCGAGAGAATAGAGTAAAAAATCTAGGGCGAGCAGACTCATTAGTCAACAGTTATGAAGCACCAGTTTCAAGAGGGACCTTAAAACCCATCCTAGCTCACGTCTGTAGTCCCAGCACTTTGGGAGGCCAAGAATGGGTGGATCACAAGATCGGGAGTTCGAGACCAGCCTGGCCAACATAGTAAAACCCTGTTTCTACTAAAAATATAAAAATTAGCTGGGTGTGGTGTCACACACCTGTAATCTCAGCTACTTGGGAGGCGGAAGCAGGAGAATCACTTGAACCCGGGAGGCGGAGGTTGCAGTGAGTTGAGATGGTGCCACTCCACTCCAGCCTTGGTGATAGTGTGAGACTATGTCTCAGAAACAACAACAACAACAAAACCCATCCTACTCTGCCTTTTCTCTGAGGCTTTTTGTGTGTGTCCAACATTAGTGCAGGAAGCACTGCCATTCTGAGGTTTGTGTAGTGTCTGGGGGACGGGGGGTGGGAATGGGAGCCTGTGTGTGTGGCCAGAAGTTTTGGGCTGCAGGGAAGAGCAGTCTGGATGGATGTAACCAGAGTGAGCTTTGAAGGGTTCAATCCCAGGGAGTCAGTGAAACTCCCAGTATAAACAGAAATGATCTGTAGGTTATATTCTAATAAGTGAGTGGGCAAGGACCATGTGAATTGGTTATCAAGTAACACGTGTTTGCTAAATGCCTTCTTTGTGCCCAGCTCCAATTAACCACTTGGATGGCTTCTTGCAGGGGTGGTGTGGGCGAACACAATGCAAATGGCTACTTGTTTGCAAAGACAGAATGCTTCTTCAAGTGGATATGAGATTGTTAAAATGAGGCTTTCCTTTGGGTTGGAGTCCATTTTTTTTTCCTGCCTGAATATTGTGCTGAAAGTCCTTCCCACCTCTAAATACCCTACGGGGCCATGAGTTGCAACCCCTACAAGCTCATCACCCACGACTGCTTGAGACTGTGCCTCCCTCTGCAAAGCTGGCTTGAGGTCCCATCCATGAGATCGTTATTGTTGGAGGAAGACCTTGGGGTGGGGTAACAGCTTTTTTGTTATTTCATTCTGAGTTGGATTCCAAAGTAGGCAGTACTCATCCAAGAGGTGTGGGAGGAGGAAAATGGAGTGAGAAGTTAGTCATGCAGGATGCTGGTGTTTACTGCCTGCCCACTCCCTGTGAGTGCTGTGCCCAGCAGAGCAGAAGGGGCACTGAGAGGCACAGGGGTCTTGCCATCCTTGGACAGATCATGAGCTGTGCTGTGCATGTAGCAGGCACCCTGGAAGTTTCTGTGGCATGAAGCGCCTGCCCTCTTGCCAGCGGTGGTTAACGCCTATCTGCGTGCCAAAAGATATCCTCAGCCCCAGAAAAAGTTGCTCCTGTGAGATCAGTTGAGAGTTGAGGCATTTATTGACTGGTCTGCCACAGGGATGGACTGTTGGAATAATATGTTGGGATAGGGTCCTGCCCCCACCCCAAAAACCTGGCCAGATGGTGGAGACCCTATTTAGGGGGCCTTGGCAGCTGGTGGCATGTGGAGTGGGGAGTTGGAGCAAAAGCAGTTTTCCAACTGGTACAGAAAATTTTCGTTATTTCCTTTCTTTCTTCCTCCCTCTCTCCCTCACTCTGTCGCCCAGGCTAGAGTGCAGTGGCATGATCTCAGCTCGCTGCAACCTCTGCCTCCCAGGTTCAAGCAATTCTCTGCCTCAGCCTCCCAAATAGTTGGGATTCCAGGCACCTGCCACCATGCCCGGCTAATTTTTTTGTATTTTTAGTAGGGATGGGGTTTCACCATATTGGCCAGGCTGCTCTTGAACTCCTGACCTCGTGATCCACCCTCCTTGGCCTCCCAAAGTGCTCGGATTACAGGCATGAGCCACCGTGCCCAGCCCCATTGTTTTCATTATCAATATTACT